CTCGTTCCTCTTCCACCTGAACTCAGTGCTGGGCTCTCCCTGAATGGTTCACTCAGGTCCCATGGCTTTATAAACCATGTGTCAGTGGCTCTGAAATTGACATCCCCACCCTGGACCCCTATTCTGAGAAAACCAGACTCATGTACACACTGCCTATGTATTATGGCTCAAGTTGCATGTCCCCCCAAAAGAGATAGGCTGAAGTCCCCCGAGTAGCTCAGATTGTGACCTTATTTGGAAATTGTCTTTACAGAGATAATCAAGTGGAAATGAGGTCATTGAGATGGTCCCTAATCCAATACAACAGGTGTCCTTATAAAGGGAGGAAATTTGGACACAGAGACAGACAGCACACAAGGACAAGGCCACGTGACGACGAAGACAGGGATAGGAGTGCTGTGCCTACAAGCCAAGGAACACTAAAGACTCAGCAGCCACCAGCAACACAGATTCCCCAACCCAGAGCTCAGAAGGAACAGGCTCTGCCGACACCATGATCCTGGGCTCCTGGCCTCCAGAACTGTGAGAGTAGATTTCTGTTGTTTTAAACCACCCAGTTCGTGGCACTTTGTGATGACAGCCCCAGCAAACTAATCCACTATGCGACATCACATTCACACATTGCTCACCTAGTGCAGCAAACTCAACACGCTGCCAATGCCACAAGCCCAGACCTGGTCTTCCTCATCTCGGCGAATGGAAGCACTGATCACTCGCTCCGCCAGAAACCTGGGAGTCGCCCTTGATACCCACCCCCTCCCCCACCTACATCCAAATCCATCCAAGTCCTGTTGGCTCTGCCTCCCGAATACCTCGTGAATCCACCCGCTTCTCTCTGTCCCCAGAGCCCCACCCTCCTCCAATCACTGTCACTTCCTGCCTACACTGCAGGGGTAGCTCCAAACTGGACACCTCTCCCATTCCTGTTCCCCTCTAATCTAGTCCCCACGGGCCACTGGAGGGATCTTTTAAAAACAAATTTTAGCTGGGCGCAGACTTGGTCCCCTGCCTGAGCCCCAAAGACTCCCCTGTTAGATATCAGACCATCTGGCAGTTACTCGCCAGGGGCCCTTTTGGCCCAACTGTCATCAGCAGTCAGTCAACAAATGCCGCCACACCTGTAATCCCAACACTTTGGGAAGCTGAGGCAGGAAGAACACTAGAGCCCAGGAGTTCAAGACCAGCCTGGGCAACACAGCAAGACCCCATCTCTTAAAAATTTTTTTTAATTAGCTGGCTTTGGTGGGATGCACCTGTAGTCCCAGCTACTTGAGAGGCTGGGACAGGAAGATAGTATAAGTACAGGAGTTGGAAGCTACGATGACCTATAATCATGCCACTACATTCTGGCCTGGGCAACAGAGCAAGATCCTGTCTCTGAAATAATTAAATAAAAAAATTAAAAACCCATAAATCTAGACTACATCATTGCACCGAGAATAAAATCTTATCTTCTATAAATGGCCCACAGGGTTCCACGTCATAGACCCCTCCACCCCATCCCGATCCCTGCACAACAGCTCCATAAAGGTGTCCATGGCATCCTAAGTCCGGGAACCTGCCAACAGGTTTCCTTATGTTTCCTGCAAAAAGGACTTTGCGGATGTAACTCAGTTAAGGATGGTGAGATGCGGCGAATGCTCTTGATTATCCAGGTGGGCTGGAGACAATCACAGGGGTCCTTACAAGAGAGAAGCAGCTGAGTTTGCATCAGGATGACAGAAGCAGATACTGGAGGGATGCAAGCCAAGGAGCCACGATAGGGTGGCCTGAAGCAGTTGGAAGACGCAGGGAAACAAAGTCTCCCCAGGAAGCTCTGGAAGGAACCAGCCCTGCCAACACCCTGATTTTAACCCCTTAACACCCTTTTCTGATTTCTGACCCCCAGGCGCCTAAGGTAATAAATCTGTGCTGTTTGGGGAAATTTGCTACAGCGACCACAGGGAGTGTGACCATACACCACCTCTCAGGCCTCGGCTGAAAAGTCTACAGTGACGTCTTCCCTGTCAGCCCTGAGATGGCTCCTGCCCACACTCTCTCACAGCACCTCCCCTTTGCTCTCGTGACACTTGCCACAACCTGCCATTGCTGTATCTGTTTGTATATTTGTTGTTGTCGTTAACCAGCCCACTCACACGCTGAAATGTAAGCTCCAAGGAGAGCAGAGGTCATGACCGTCTTATTCCCTACCAAACCCAGCGTCTGGAATAAACACTGTGGAATAAATCTAGGTGGATGACACAATCCCTCCTCTCAAGGAGCCGGCAATCCACTGAAACGGAAGCGACTTAAAACGCAATGATCAAAATGCAGCAAATATACACTTAAAATGTTGTGCATTTCCCTGTACATAATTTTTACATCAAAAGAAAACACTAAACAAAACTTGAACTCTACATAGTGCCACACAGAAGCATTTAGCGGGGAGAGTAGTGACATGCAATTGACTTTGAAAGCATCTAAAAATGAGATGGGTGGAAACAGGGAAGGAAAGCTGTTTACATGTGTGACAAAGCAAGTGCAGTAAGACGTGAATGGAGGGATCTAGATGGCATGCCGGCAGATGTTCACAGAAAAAATTCGTTCAGCCTCACTGTTATGTTAGAGATTTTTTTATAGTAAACGCTGGGAGGCTAGGGCTCAATGAATAACACGGCAATATAATAATGAATATGGTCAGGTCCTGAAACAAACAAGCAATCCATGAAATAGGTCCCTGGGAAAGAAAAGAGGTCCCTGGAAGCCATTAGGCCAGGCAAAGTCAGCAGGGATCTTTGCCGGGCCCCAGGGCAGACAAGATAACAACACAGTAAAGGGGTTGTGAGCGCGGCTAAGATGTTAAAAGTCCTGTGTTCAAGTCCCACCTCAGTGCCTTCCCAGCAAGGTGCCCTTGGATAAGGTAGGTGGCACCTCCTGGGGCAGCCATGACTAATTACCACAAAGCGAGTGGCTTAAGACAAGAAATACAGACACCGACTGTCTTGCAGTTCTGGAGGCCTGAAACCAAGGTCTCAGGGTAACCTGCCAAAGGCTCCAGGGAAAAATTCTTTGCCTCCTCTGGCTTCCGGTGGCTCCAGGTATCCTGTGGCTTGTGGGAATCTTTACGGGACCTTATTCTCTGTGTCTTCAATCTCCCTCTGCCTTCTCTTACAAGGACAGCTGTCGCTGGATTTAGGACCCACCCTAAATCCAGGAAGGCATTTCAAGATCTTTAATTTAATTACATCTGCAAAGACTATTTTTCTTACAAAGGTCTTATTCACAAGTTCCAGGGGCTTAGGACCAGGATGTGTCTTTCGGGGGCCACCATTCAGCCTTCTACATTCAGCCCTCTACAGGGGCCTCAGTTTCCTCAGCTGTGATATGTGCCTTCCCTAATAGGTTTGATTGTTTTTCAGTTGTTTTTGTTTTTGTTTTGTTTTGTTTTTTGGAGACAGGGTCTCACTCTGTTGCCCAGGCTGGAGTGCAATAACATGATCATGGCTCACCACAGCCTCAACCTCCCAGGCTCAAGCAATCCTCTTGCCTCAGCCTCCTGAGTAGCTGGGGCTACAGGCTCATGCCATCATGCCTGGCTAACTTTTTAAAAATACTTTTGTAAAGACAGGGTCTCAAACTCCTGGGCTCAAGCCATCCTCCCTCCTTGGCCTCCTAGAGTGCTGGGATCACAGGCAGGAGGCACCACACTCAGCCTCTCATCAGGTTTTTGTGGAGACAGGAATGCATGATGCACACTTAGCACGGCCCGGGCACAGCCAGACGCCCAGACACCACCTGTTCTTACTGCAAGGGCACTGCCATCATCGCAGACGGAGAGAAGGGGGCACACTTGGCAGACTCCAGGACAGGAGGAGCCAAGGAAGATAATGAGACCTATCTCAGGGGCCCACTGTGAGGGAGGAACAGGGACACCTGGACAGGGCTGCCCACAGAGTCTGGAGGTGGTAACTGCTGAAGAAAGCGACCTCCCTTCAGAGCTGAGCAGGGAGCTGGCCACAGTGGGCACCAGCCTTGGCTGTACCTGAGGTCAGCATGTTGTTGATGAGCTCCAGGAAGCCTTCCTCGGCCACATGGGCGTCCGTGAACAGAAAGATCGTCGCTTTGTTCTCGATCCCGAGTTTCAAATAGAGGCTCTTCAGGTCTTCCCGGAAATTGTTCTCCGAGTAGCCTCGGCTCAGCAGGATCTCAAATACCTGTAACACAGACACGGAGCACACGGGCGTCACCATCACCAGCCTCCCTTCCCTGCAGGCTCTGGGGCAGGGATGCTGGAGGAGAGTGCAGAGGGCGTGGGTCTGTCCAAACTTGAGGAAGTGGGTCAGGAAAGAAGAGTCTGGAAGGGACTCCCTGTCGTGGAACAGGAGGGGGAAGCCCCATGAGCCTAGCCACAGAGGAAAGTGGGGAAGAACGCACCCCGAGGTGAGCGCCAGCCATATACTGCAGTTTACAGAAAATCAGACCCCATGGGAAGATGCACACAGGGAGAAACAAACAGGCACTTTAACTTCTTGACAGGAAATCAATGTACACACAAAATCGACGTCAATGTGAACAAGGACATAAGTTTAAAGCATGCTTTTTCGGCTCAAGTGTTTCTTTTCTCTCAGAAGTAGAAATTAAAACTTTCATTACAACCAGTGACTGTCAGAAACATGTCAGATTTCCAGTAACTGAGAGCTCTCTCTGTTCCCTACCTCCCTCAACCCTATGCATTGATACACATGCTTCACTCACACTGTCACACACACAGTCACGCTCACACGGTCACACTCAGCCACACACTCACTTGCACCCTGGCATGCACTAGAACACAAGCTCACACACACACACACACGCACGGCAACCAGGAAACCTTCTGGCCAATAGACTCTGGTCTCCAGTTCTGCCTGTCGCCTGCAAACCTTCCTCACCCCTCCCGAGTGCAGCCGCCTCCCCTCCCCAGCAGCTCCTGGCACTACTCTCTGAACACCTGTTCTGACCCCGCTACCCAACCCTCTCCACTTCCTCACTTCCTAGGGCCCAGACACAGCCCTGTGTGTTCTCAACCTCCTCCAGATCTCTGTCCCTCAGCATCCTCTCTGCTGTTCCTCGAGGCGTTACTTCAGGAGAAAATGCCTCAGATTTACCTGGACAAATCAACAGGGAAAACAAAACAAAACAAAACAAAACAAAACAAAAAATCTTTCTAGTGGGAAATGTCTTATCCTACAGAAAACTGTGGAAAACAATTGCAAAATAGTTACATTTTAATAATGAATGATTTCAATTATGTATTTCATCAGATTTAAAGGTAGATCAAGCATATTAGTTTTTCCCTTTTTTACAAATACCTCAAACAAAAGGCCAATATTTGTGAAATATTGGAAGCTGGATTCATTGAATGAGCTGTGATTGCTCTCCTATATAAAGAGTTCTCACAAATCAGTAAGTATATAAAGAGGCAACTCACAAAAGAGAAAAGGTAAATGTCCAATGAATGCATAAAAGGATATTCAAACTTTACTATTAATTGGAGAAAGGGTCATTTAAACTGCAACATTTGGGTTGATTCCAAGTCTTTGCTATTGTGAATAGTGCTGCAATAAACATACGTGTGCATGTGTCTTTATAGCAGCATGATTTATAATCATTTGGGTATATACCCAGTAATGGGATGGCTGGGTCATATGGTACATCTAG